CAGTTTTACTTCTCAATAAAAAACAAGTGTAGACCCGGTGGCTCAGTCTATCTCTGAAGGCTGAGTCCCTTGGTCTCGCTCTTAAATCTTACTTCTGTCTCTTGTTCTTATTCAAATCTGCGCCGCTCCTCTCGTGTCCCATTTGCCCTTGCCACGCTGGACATGACACAAGAAGTCACAGCTGGCATAGGAGGGTTGTCAAGAACGGCTGCTAGAGACATTAAAAATCATCATTTTCAAATAGTTTATCTGGATTAGCTTACTACTTCTGGGGTAAAAAAGAAAGTTCTGCAGTAATAGTCAGACAGCAGTAGTGATCGGCTATCGGTTGTCACCACGGGCACCAGCCACGCAGAACCCGTGTGGTCTGCAAAGCCCTGATCTGGGAAAGCCCTCACCTGTCTCACCTGTCAGGTTTGCGTTTCCCTCATGACTAGTGACGCTGAACATCTTCTCATGTGATTAATGGCCACTGGTATGTCTTCTCTGGGGAAATGTCTACTGAAATCCTTTGTCCATTTTTAAATTGCATTATTTGGGCCTCCCCACTTCAAGATTATAAAAACATTCTTCCATGATTTCTTCCAACACTTTTATAATTGCATTTTGTTCCTTCTTTGATTCATCAAGAATGTTTTTGGTATGAAGGTCCAACTTTTAAAATCCAGATGTGACCCACATGTACCACCACCAGTGGAATCAATAAGGCATTTTCAACTCCGCTTGACAACCCTCCAAACTAGATGCCTCTGCTTTTCCAAAACAGAGAATAAACATCAACCTCCAGCCTTCTGCTTGGCTAGGACAGGAGCACCTGCCTGGCTCCCAGAGCACGGCGAGCAAGCAGTCTAAGGTTCCAAATGCTTCTGAAATACGCTTTCAACCAACCCTGCTGGGGTCACTGTCTCCTTCACCCCGACAGCAAGAGGCACCTGGTGCTGTCAACACTCGAATCTTTTAGGAAGAAAGAATAAACTGGACTGGCTCTCTTCTTTCCAGTGCTGGCTCAGGATGGGTCTGCCCTCAGTGTGCTGAGTCCCCGACTGCTGGCCCAGCCGCCGCCTGCCCCCAAATGTTGTTTCTGCTAGCTCCTCTCCCACACCCCATCTTTATGGGTTACGCCTTTTTATAAAATCCCCTTTCTGATTCTCAGTGGGATTTCAGGAAGGAATAAAAGTATGTGCACACAGATTATCAAACATATTTACCCAAACATCTCTTTTTTAACTTTAAAAGTATTGTACCACATGATATATCTTATACAAAGAAAACATTACTAAGTCTGTGCACGTTAAGACTTCAATTACAAAATGTTCTCTTTAAATAATAAAGCACAGTTGACCCTTGAACAACATGGGGGTCAAAAATCTGCATAAAGATTTTGACTCCCCTTAGCTGCAGTCATCCAAAGGTATGTGCAAGGCACCGGACCCCACAGATACCGAACTCTGCAGGTGTTCAATCCCTTATGTAAAATGGCACAGATCGACACATACAGTTGGCCCCCACATCCACGGATCCAAAATACTGTTTTTGATCCTAAGTTAGCTGAGTCCACAGACGTGAAACCTGTGGATAGGAGGGCCAACCGTACTTACGAAAACATCCACGTTAAGCGGACTCGCACAGTTCGCCTGTGTTGTTCAGGGGTCACAGTAACAGTTTCTCNAGAAGCCGGCGACTGATCTGCCTCGCCCGGGAAGAGCACAATGATGGTGCCAACTTGGGCCAGTGAAGCAATCTCCTCCACAACTAGACTTAAGAACAAAATGACAGCAACTTGCCTGTTCCCCTTCCCCCAATTCCCCAGTGCTGTTCCCATCCCCCCAACTCCCCAATAAAAATCTTTAAAAATAAAATAAAATACCCAGGACCTCTTATCTAGCAGGAATCACCCCCCAAGATGCCCCAGAAACATACCAGCACCTCACTGCCTTGTGTGCTGAGGACTCCTCCTGCACGCCAGCAGCCAAGGCTTCAAGTGCGACTGATGCAGAACGTGGGAGCAGAAACACACGTCAGCACACCATCACAGTCCATCAACAACAACCCGAGTATTTCTCAACGAGTCAGGTAGTGGGTCTTTGGTAAGGTCCCCTCATCTCCACATTACAGACCTCCCAGGCTGCCTAAACCCCCAGATGACACAAGTCCTTCAGGCTTCCAAGTGTCTCAGTGAAGCCTTTAAATTTAAAAAGTCAAAATATGTAGACAGTAAAATGTCCCCTAATTAACCGTCAAATGTGGTCGTGCATAGCTCTGAAGATTAACTGTGAAATCAGCAGGCACTGGGCCAGGAGAAAAAGTGGAGGGTCAGTTTATACCAGATTACAACCAAAAAAAGGGTTTTCCAGTATTGGGACATAAGGGAAATATACAAACAGGTAAAATACTTGAAATGGAAAGGCAGGAAACTGAGAATATTCATGCACAAACTCAGTCATTTACAGTGTGCAGCACAAGCAGTTGACTCACAGGCCAGCATTCTCTGAAGCACGGTCACGGCGATCTGTAACAACAACGGGGCCACCGTCACTGTGGCACACGGGCACCGCTCCAGGAAACAGGCTCCTTTAAGGTATAGTAGGAAACTGACTTTTCAAAGAGCTGCAATTTTAAGATTTCCTCTTAGGTCGACATATAATCCCAATAGTGATGCTGAGACCATACAGAGTGAAAAGGCAGACTTTGTGGAAGTGTCCGTCGTGACACCCCGAGACTGCCCAGGGCCCTGGCTGCACCCTGCCGGCCTCCCTGCCTCCTGTGGCATCTGGCTCGCATAGGCTCGGTCACCATCAGCACAGAGTTCTCGAACCCCATGAAGCGCTCTCATCTAAATGCACAGACTGGATTCTGGGCCGTGGTGCAGACCTTCAGCCTCGAGAGCCTCGGAAACCAGAAGACATGGAGGGAGATGGCACTGCCACCTCCACCCCCCACATCTGCCGGACTAGGCAGTAAAACTACCCGGGGAGCGTCTCATGATCACAGCAAAGCAGACTGTGTCATAAGAAGGCCAGCCACCGGCCAAGGGGCTTCCAGAAGGAACGACAGCATGAGACGCCCTTTATGCTGCACAATTTCCTAAGAAGGCCAGTGCTGTGCACTCTGCACTTGACTTTTCCTCCTACCTGGGGCATCCGTTCAGGCTCCACATTTCTTCTCAGACCTGAGTTTTCTTGAAATCCCCTCAAAACAAACATTTGCACAAAATCTGAAAAGCACAAAACCGAAGTATTTACATACACTGTGGTCTCTAGGCAGCCACGAGTCTCACAGACCGTCCACTTCAGAGGGGCCTGGGAGGGAGGGCTCCCATGCAGTTGTCGGGACACCCTGCCCCTGGCCCCGGGAAGCCCTGCAGGGCCCGGCCCGGCGGATGCCGTGCACAAGTGTTCACCAAAACTAATCGAACAAAGCTGACTGAACCGGACCCTTCTCCTTGCTGTGTTATTTGAAAGGGGAAACACGGCTAACCCTTGAGCAACATGGGTTTGAACTGCGCAGTCCACCCACACGTGGGTTTTTCTCAATAAGCACTTAGTCTTCCCTCCCAGAGGTCACATTGTAGTCAACCAACTTCGAGTAAAAACCAGTATTTTCAATACGAGGTTGGGCATTTGTGTACGCAAAGGGCCAACTTAAGTTTTTGCAGATTTTCAACTGTGTAAGGGGTCGATGCCCCTAACCCCCACGTTATTCAAGAGTGAAGTGTACTTGTAATCAATGTTTGTAACTAAGGGTTTTTCTCTCTTAAAACAGAAAAGTAGCTTCTAAGGATTTCTTGTGGAATGCCTCTCCAGCCAATCTCCTACACCAATGATGCAAGAAACTTTAGACGAGGACCCAGAAGCATTACATTCTGGGGAATGAGGCGGAAAATAGACATACCTTCTGGAAAGATTAGAATCAAGAGGGCTAAACTTAAAAAGATTTTGTCGGGCTGGTCAAGTGGGTCAGTTGGTTAGTTAAGAGTACAAGCTCTGAGCACCAGGGTTGCTGGTTCTATTCCCACATGGGCCAGTAAGCTGCGTCCAAGCTGAGCTGGCAACA